TAATAATAATGATAATGATAATGATAATGATGATGCTAACGATAACGATAACGATAATGATAATGATATTGATAATGATAATGATAATGATAATGATAATGATAATGATAATGATAATGATAATGATAATGATAATGATAATGATAATGATAATGATAATGATAATGAGAATGATAATGATAATGATAATGATAATGATAATGATAATGATAATGATAATGATAATGATAATGATAATGATAATGATAATGATAATGATAATGATAATGATAATGATAATGATAATGATAATGATAAAGATAATGATAATGATAATGATAATGTTAATGATAATGATAATGATAATGATGATGATGATGATGATGATGATGATGATGATGATGATGATGATGATGATGATGATGATGATGATGGGAGGAGGGAGGGGGGGGGGAGGAGGAGGAGGAGGTGAGGAACGCGGGGCGCCGTCTCTTCAAAACGAGGACCCAACACCACAGGATGGTTGGAAAAACAACGAATCAACACCGAATGTGAAATCACTTCCGATGGTTTCATCGGGAGGCCATTTTCTAGGTTTTGGGGCCTATTTAGAAGGACCGAGAACCATGCCGAGGCATGGCACTCGAAATAATGACGCCAGCGCTGCAGCGGGAGCTCGATTCGGAACGAGCGGAAGCGCGGATATGAGACCAGCGCGACAGCGGGAGCACGATTCGGAACGAGCGGTAGCCCGAAAATGAGGCCTGCGCTTCAGCGAGAGCAGCATTTGAAAAAAACAAGCGTCGAAGCGCGGAAATGAGGACGCGTAGCCTGACATAGCATGGCGTGGCGACGCCCCAAAGTGGGGGGGGGCTTCCGCGGCCCAAAAAATCAACGAATCAACACCGAATGTGTGATCACTTCCGATGGTTCTTTCGGGTGGGCATTTTCTAATTTTTGGGGCATATTCAGAAGGACCGAGAACCATGCCGTGGCATGGCGCTGGAAATAATAACGCCAGCGCTTCAGCGGGAGTACGATTCGGAACGAGCGGAAGCGCGGATACGAGACCAGCGCTACAGCGGGAGCACGATTCCGAACGAGCGGTCTCCCGAAAATGAGGCCTGCGCTTCAGCGAGAGCCGCAGCATTTTGGAGAGGAAAAAAAAAACGTGGAGGGGGGGCGGCCTTTCCCCAGAGGCCACGAGGGGAGAGAGGAGTGTAGTATTCATGTTGTGCGATTGTGGACGAGGGGGAGGAGAGGAGGACGGGGAGGAGGAGGGGGAGGAGGAGGGGGAGGAGGAGGGGGGAAGAAGGAGGAGGAGGAGGAAGAGGAGAAGGAAGAGGAGGAGGAAGAGGAGGAAGGAGGTCTGGGGGGGCCAGCAAGATTGCTTCAAGAAACCCCCGGCTCTTCGGATGGCTCAATGAGAGGGGCCTCGTCCTGCTCCACGGCCTTCTCGACGAGTTCCTCCCGGTACTTCGCGACCAGCTCCTCGAGAGGGATCAGAGGAGGGAGCGACAAGAGCGAGGAAAGACAGGCAGGAGAGAAGACGGAGGACGGAGGACGGAGGATGGACGAGCCCTGAGATCCTGGCGTTTTCGCTTTTTTCAGGCCCCGGGACCCTTACAGATCGACCCGACTCGAAAATTGACGCACAAAAGTGGGGTATAGGATTCTGGGCGTAATTTTTCCGAAGTTACAACTTTTTTTCGCAACGCCGGATCTCAGGGAGGATGGACGTGGATGAGCGAGCCTCGGACCAGATCGACCATTCATCTGGGCTCGGCTGATAACCACGGCGCTGTCTGAGGCTTTCGATGGGAGTCGCAAGCGTGCAGATCAGCGTTCCCAGAAACAGTGGGGACGGCATGCGCTTACACGCCGACACCGCCCTGCCTGGCGGCCAGATAAGGGCGCTACCCCGACCGGCACCCAGATGAACGAGGATGCGAAGCGGAATTTCTCCGTGCGTGCGTGTGTGTGTGTGTGCGCGTGCGTGCGTGCGTGCGCGTGTGCGTGTGTGCGTGTGTGCGTGTGTGCGCGTGTGTGCGTCTGTGCGTGTGTGCATGTGTGCGTGTGTGCGTGTGTGGGTGTGTGTGTGTGTGCGTGCGTGCATGTGCGCGCGGGTGTGCACGTGTGCGTGTGTGCGTGTGTGCGTGTGCGCGCGTGCGTGCGTGTGCGTGTGTGCGCGTGCGCGTGTGTGCGTATGTGCGTGTGTGCGCGTGTGCGTATGTACGTGTGTGCGTGCGTGCGTGCGTGCGTGCGTGCATGCGTGCATGTGTGCGCAAATGTGCGCGTGTGCGTTGTGCGTGCGTGCGTGCCGTGCTGCGTGCGTGCTACGTGCGCGCGTGCGTGCGGTGCGTGCGTTTGTGGCGAGCGTGCGTGCGTGCGTGGGTTTGTGCGTTTGTGCGTGCGTGCGTGCGTGCGTTTGTGCGTGTCTGCGTGCGTGCGTGCGTGCCCCGCGTGCGTGCGTGCGCGCGCGTGCGTGCGCGCGCGCATGCGTGCGTGCGTGCGTGCGTGCGTGCGTGCGTGCGTGCGTGCGTGCGTGCGTGCGTGCGTGCGTGCGTCGTGCGTGCGTGCGCTCGTAAGTGCGTGCACGTGCGTGTGTGTGCGTGTGTGCGCGTGTGCGCGTGTGCGTGTGTGCGCGCGTGTGTGCTGCGTGCGTGCATGTGTGCGCGTGCGTCTGTGCGAGTGTGCGTGTGCGTGCGTGCGTGTTGTGCGTGTGTGCTTGTGTGTGCGTGTGTGCGTGTGTGCGTGTGTGTGCGTGTGAGCTTGTATGTGCGTGTGCGTGCCTGCGTGCGCGTGTGCGTGTGTGCGTGTGTGCGTGTGTTCATGTGTGCGTGCGAATGCGAGTGTGCGAGTGTGTGCGTGTGTGCGTGTGTGCGTGTGTGCGTGTGTGCGTGTGTGTGTGTGCGTGCATGTGTGCGCGTGTGCGTGTGTGTGCGTGTGTGCGTGTGTGCGTATGTGCGTGTGTGCGTGCGTGCATGTATGTGCATGTGTGTGCTTGCGTGTGTGTGTGTGTGCATGTGTGTATGTGTGATACTTACTTGGCTAGTTTTGGGCGGAGATCCAGCAGCTCACTGCACTCTGAGGCCTGTAACGCCCTAGAAGCCTCTGGTGCAGTCAAGCTGCTGTCTGGGCTGCTCTTTCGAGCCTTGCGCCCTGGCTCTTCGCTTTGGGTTCTCCGTCTGCGAACTGTGCACCAGGTCGGTGCCCCCCCCCACGGTTCTTGCCTCCGGCAGGACCTTTCGGCTCTCTCCAGCCGCGCCCCGCCTGCCTTGAGGCCAGGCTGGCCTCGCCGCCCGCGCCCCACCCCGCCCCCCTCGCCTTTCCTGGTTTTCAGGCCGGCCCATCTGGAGGTGGTCCCGCACTGGCCGCCGCCGCCAAGGTTGCCTTCGTAGGTCACGTGTGACCCTGGCGCTTTCGTCTACGCCTTCGTCACCAGCCTCCGTTGGGCACTGTTTCCCCCCGGGCGACCTGCCGCTGGCAGCTTGCCTTGCTGGCTCCCCTCCCCTCAGCCGGCGCCTCGCTGCCGGTGGGCCCCGCCCCCTGGCGCCGCCCCCCGCCGCCGCCTGGCCCCGCTCTGAGCAGGCCTGGCTTCCGTTTCCCTCAGGCCATCGCTGGGCGCCTCCTCCTTCGCCCCTCTGGCATCTGGCCGAATTCGCGTTCAAGCAGGGGGGTACCAATGCGGAGACTGGGGGAAGTGCGAATGTGCGTTCACTTCGTACGCTGCACGTCTTCTGTGGATCGCGAACTAGGATCATTCCCATCTCCGCTACTTAGTAGAATTGCAGGGGTGGTGGTAACGAAGTTGACTTGGCGGCAATAAGAAATGTAAGCATGGCTCTTGTCCTTGTCAAGTGTACGCTTTGACTCGCGCCGGCGCTGAGGAAAACGGCAGTGGTAGATCCTATTCCAGTAGAAGGGAAACGAGGATGATGAAGAAGAGAATGTGGAGGGGAAGCGGGAAGGGAGGATAAGAAGAAAGAGAAGGAAGGTCCTCCATGCCCGCTGGGATCTCGTCCTTCACCTCGCAGAGCTGACAGCACGCCCAACGAAACAACATGCAGCCCAAAGAAACATCACATGAAAAGCAAGAGCTAATACATGCATGCTACGGGAAAACAGATGTCGAAAGATTGTTGGCCAAACCCCGCCAGCTGATCTCGCTGGCCTACACTGGCCAGAACCTGGCCATCTATCCCAGCAACCCCCCACGCCCAACCTTGCCAGCGGCTTTTTTGTCAGACATCCGTCACCGTGCCTTGAGCGCGTACTGGAGTGTGAAGCGCTCTCAGCTCACTTCGAGTTCTCTGTATTCCATACTCTTCAAGGGGCTCCAGGGAGAGGCTCGCTCGCATGGACTCTGGGGCTTCTCGCATCACCTCTCCAGATGCTAGAGAGGCCGAAGACGGAGCAATTGGATAGAAAGGTAACTCCCAAACGGTCCAAGAGAACCTGAGCCGGCCCCAGACGGGCCGAGATGTCTTCCAGTGGACCAAAGAGGCCCCCATGATGCCCCAAGAGATCTTCAAGAAGGCTTCAAGAGGGCTTCAAGAGAGACCAGATTCAAGTTACTTATGCTTTAGACGGAGTTGAAGACTTCCAACGCTCCCAGACAGCTCCAGAGGCCCCCCGCGAAGAAGGCCCAAGAGGCATCGAAAACGGCCCCAAGAGGGGGCATTGCGAGCATTTCCCAGCCAATACTGCCCCAAAGACTCCTAAAAGCCAACACAGAAGCGCCCGAAGGCCCCAGGAGGTCCCCTCGAGGCCTCCGATGGCGGGATGGGCCGAAGGCCACCGGACAAAGGCATCTGAGGAAGAGGCCCCACAGAGGCTCCCGCAGGGTCCTCAATGCTACCGGGACCCCCAAAACCCCAAGCTCTCGGCTGGCAATGAAGCTCGTCCTTCGCCTCCTCATCCTTCCCCTCATCCTCATCATCCTCATCATCATCATCATCCTCATCATCATCATCATCATCATCATCATCATCATCATCATCAGCATCAGCATCAGCATCAGCATCATCATCATCATCATCATCATCATCAGCATCATCATCATCAACAGCATCATCATCACCATCATCATCATCACCATCCTCATCCCCCCCATCATCAGCGGTGACCGCCGCCGGGAAATCATTATGTCCCCAAAATCATTATGTCCCCAATACTGCTGGGTCCCAAGTAAGTCAACAAGCCCGCGAGCAAAAAAAACATGTTCCAATTACTGGGGGGGTCAAGACCCTTTGCGAGGTTAAGCCCTCAGGAGGCCCCCCGGAACACCAAAGATGGCCAATGTATACAACCATGAGTCATCCTTTTCCTCCTCCTCCTCCACCTCCTGCTCCTACTCCTTCTCCTCCTCCTTTTTTTTCTGTTCTCTCTCTCTCTCTCTATTTGTTTCTCTCTCTCTCTCTCTCTCTCTCTCTCTATGTATACACAACTCTCGCTTTATGCTTACAATCTGGGGGCTGGTGAGTCCCACACACACACACACACACAAGCACAAACACAAAGACACACACAGTTGTTGAAGCCGGCGGCGCAGAGGATCTTCAGGTGCGGACGGCAGATGAAAGTGCCAACTGCGATCGAGCATTGTCGAGGGCAGTGCACAAAACGTGCACACTGTCAAATGCAGCAATGGGTGGCGTGAAGGAAAACTGCCTGTCCAAGCGAACCACGCAGCGGCCAGATGGCCGAGGCGGCAACTCAACTCAAACACACACACACACACACACACACACACGCACACACACACACACACACACACACACACCACACAACATAAGGAAATCAAAGAAAAGTTTGTGCCTCTCGAGGCACTCGCCTGGGGCATCGGGCGCCCACCGAAGCCTGCCCATGGCCGTCCTGGCGCGTTCTTGAGGCCTCCTGGGAGCCTCTTAGGTTGAAGAACTCGAAATTTCGGTTCATGCTCCCCCTCTTGAGCCCATCTTGAGGCCGTCTGTGGGGCTTCTGGGGCCGTCTGTAGGGCTTCTTGGGCCGTCCTGGGCGCCCAGGGGCCGTCATTGAACCCTGTGAGGCCGTCCCGGGGCCCTCCTGGTGGCCGCTGGGCCCGTCCTAAGGCGGTTTTGGAGACCTCTTGGGCCGTCTTGGAGCGTCGGAAACTCGAAAAGTCGAAAAGTAGAGGACTTAAACAAGACCAGAAAACTCAAAGTAAATCAAAGATTTGCGCCTCTCGAGGCACTCGTCTGGGTCCCGGGGCGCCCTCCGAAGCCTGCCCGAGGCCGTTCTGGCGCCTTCTTGGGGCCTCCTGGGAGCCTCTTGGGGCGAAGGACTCAATATTTCGGTTCATGTTCCCCCTCATTGGGCCCATCTTGGGGTCGTCTTCAGGCCCTGTTGGGCCGTCTTGGGCGCCCCTGGGGCTGGCATTGAGCCCTGTTAAACCGTCTCGGGGCCTTCCTGGGGGCCTCCTGGCCCGTCTTGGGGCGGTCTTGTGGGTCTCGCTCTCCCTGGAGGAAGAGAAACGACATAAAAATAAACCTTCGCCTGTCCGCGCGGATTTCTTGGTTTTGAGCTGGGCCCCCTCCCTGGCGCGCGGAGCGCACCAGGGGCGGCGCCGCCAGGGAGGGGGCCCAGCGCAGATCCAAGAAATCCGCGCGGACCACCAAAAGTTTGTCTACTCCGAGTTTCTTAATGAGCGTTGGGGGGGCGTCATCCCCGCCGACAGCCCCACATCGACCCCGTCGCGGGCAGCCACCGCGCGCCGAAGGCGCTCCGACCCCCGTCGGGGGGTACCCCCCACGCTCATTGAGAAACCCAGCGCATGTAGTTATATGTTTTGCAGTTGCGCAGAAGAGGTGGTCGTTAGAAGTCTAACGTGCATAGCCAACAATAAAACTGATTGCGGCAACATCATCAGTGCCAGCGTAGCTCGTGACCCGACGATTCGACGAAAAAGTCGACTCCTGCCAGCGGGCGCAAGACAATACAATAGCCGCACACAACGGGACAAGCTCAATCTCTGAAAGCCCTTCTGTGCCGTGCAAGAGGCACTGCGTCGTCAGCACTCATTCATTGATTGATTGACCAGGTAGCTTCACTTCACTTCATAATGAATTCAAAGTAACATCAGAGAACTAGGATGGGGAGAACACCACGAAATAATAAACAACGAATGCGTGATTCCATTCCGCAACCTCTGACGCAGAGAGATACGCAGGGGTCGCGGGGAATCTGTCGGTGTGCGGATCTGGCCACGAGAGCCCAATCACTGGCTCCCATGCACCAACTTCCACAAAAGACTTTCCCACACATCCAAAGCCAACCCTGGATTGCACCAGTGCCTACAATCAATGTCGCTGTTATGACCACTCTTTCCTCCACCGATTCTTGAGGTCGTCCACGGATGGTTGTTATAGAGCGGCCGGGTGACGTTCCAAAGCTGCAGAATGGGCACTCCCTGTTCTCTGAAAAAGTCATCTGCCGATAACCGCATGATGCTCATATCTGACTTGTTGTCGTGCTGCGCATAGTCAGCATAGGTGGCATCAAATGGACCAGCCGCTCTGCAACTGCTTTCCTTTTTGGGCACCATGAAGCCAGTTCCATCGTCCACCATATCCACCTTGTCCTCAAACTCAAGATGTCCACGAGCAAAATGTGGCGAGGGATATTGCATCCAAACCAATCTCCCCTTGGCTGCGACTTCCTTCAAAGCACCATGCCAAAAGTGCGAGATGTCATTCATTAGCCGTTCTTTGTTTTTCATCCCCGCACCGATACCAAAGATCACAAGATCCGCCCTGCCGAGCATCGTCATGTTGTGATCCCCCAGCTCACCTGTTGGTGGCGCCTCAAATTTGTTGGCCGCCCACCAGAACTCCGCGGAAACGTTTCCGCTGAACTGCGCCTCCACGACAGGGTCAGGAATATGCACCCCTGACTGATCGGGCTTTCCGAAATGAAGATTTCTCCACAGAGATTTGTCGGTGTGCCACTGCATGTGGTCTATCAGCCCACGAACGAATGATGTGAAGAAATCGCGCACGAGGCTGTCGCCAAGAAAG